CCGACCGACGTCGGCAGCTCAGCCACATTCACGAGACCGAGGACGCCGTGAAAGCAACGGTGCGATCCGTCTGCGGGCACCAGCACTGGTCCGCCTCGGTGAGGGCATCCTGGCGTCCGGACTGCTCGCAGGCGACCCACTGCTCGGATGTGCCGTTGCAGTAGGTCAGACCGACCCAGGGCGTGCCGTCAAAGGCGCCCTTGTCTGGACAGCTGCGGTGGTCGTAGGTCGGATCGCTGCAGCCGGCGAGATAGGTCACGCCGAATTGTTGGTTGTAGCAGGCGTTGCTCGTCAGGCACATGTCGCCCTGCTGGCAGCAAGAGACGCGGCCAAAGGCGTCGTTGCCACATGGAATCATCGAGTCGATGGCCTCCTGGCCTGGTGCCAAGTAGCAAGTGCCATTGCTGATGAAGGCGTCGCGGGACGCCATGGCGATGTTGGGTGTCGGTCTCAGCGACTGTGTGTCACAAGGCCTCGATGGGCTTTGGGGGGGGGATGTTTGTTGTGAGGAGGGAAAGCAGTGGTTTCAACAGCAAGGTGCCATCCAAGTGTGATCGTCCTGCGTCGTCGACGTGAGATGTGTGTTGTCGACCTGAGAGGAACAGTGAATGAGGCCTCAGGTGTCTACTGCTTGGCGTTCTGGAAGAGAGATGGGAAAAACCAAAGTGAAAGTTCACTGCCCCCTCGTTTGTCCCGCGCGAGGAGAGAAAAGGTCGCCCTCTTCAGGAATGGCAATGACGCTCCTCCCGCGCCTTCCCGCCCACGGCACCGCTACCCGCACGGCCTAGGGAGGCGCCCACGAAAATGGTTAAAGCGATCAGGCAAGACAAGACGAAGAAAATCAAAAGCCAAGGCCGGCCAAGGCAGGCAGCCCGCCGCCGTCCGCCGCAGTAAACCGTCGATAGTGTCTTGGAGTTCTGCTCTGGGGATCCTCCTGCTATGGCCCCCTGATCCCGTCTCTCCTCGGCGCGCCCGGTCATGTGGTTGGGTGAGGCTCTCCCCGTCTGTGGGGTTGGTCGACTGAATAGGGCAAACTGGGCGGGGACCCGGCGGCGGCGGGCTTCCGTGTTTGGCAATCTGTGCTCCCCTAGGGGCACCGAGAGGGGATCGCTTCCAGGGGCCTTGAGGGAGTCCAGGGGCCTTAGGTCGCTTCCACAGGCTTTAGGGGGGGCAGGACCCCTGTGGCGTGCGCTAGGGAATTAGCGACGGCGCCTGTGATGTCATTTCTCGTGATGCTGGGACCTCGGCATGGTAGGGCCGGAGGGCACGAGTAAGTCACGATCTCGTCTGCCGCGACAGGACAAGGGCATTATTGAGCCCGGCCAAATGATGCTCAATCAGGCCAGAAAGAGTTCGCGCTAGATGCCAGAGGATCGACCCTCATTGTACAGTGGTTTCGCCGCCTGCTCATGACGCCAAGGCCTTGCTTGGACGTACTCACGCAATTCACACCTCGATGCTGGCAGCGTACCCTTGGCCTAGATGACATGTACCCTTCGCCTAGATGAGATGTCGCCCAAGTTCACGACGCAAGATAACAAAGAGTGAGTAGAAAATTAAAATGGAGGGGTATCTTTTGCCAAGTGACTGCCGCCCTGATAAACACCACGAATGCTATGAGACCCCAGTTGCCCAAAATGCAGCATGCACCATTTTCCCCCCCATCTTTGACGAGCCCTGCCTCCACCCAAAAGCGCGCCTTGCAAAATAACCCGCTATCCACCCCAGCCGATCCGCCCAAGTGGGAAAATCTCGTATGGAGACTTGGCTGATCGACAGAGCTACAGAGCTCCACCTAGCCATCTCCAAATTCGTTCGCGGTGCTGCTCAAGAAGGCTTGCTGGAGCCAGTTAGTGTCTTTTTTCTCTCGGTGATGACCGAGTCCCAAGGGAACGCCGCCGCGATGTTTCTCCCGAGTTGGCCATCATCCAAGTACTTCTTCATCCCTGACGCCTCGGCCAGCGATTGTGTCGATCCCGACATGGTGACCGTGAACCATGCCCTCGCAGAGATAGCCCGCTGTTTCCCCCGTATTGCCGACCGGCGGTTGATCCCGTGCTTCGTGCAGCCGCACCACTCTTCAACCTTCCCAGCCTCCTCCACTATGCTAGACGCCAGGAATGTCGCTGTCAGAGTCGTCACTCGACTCGATATCAATAGGCGGGGGAAGAGGCCGCGCAGGCTTGGGGGGGCTGTCCTAGCCGCTCCCGCAGTTGAGCAGGCGAAGGATCATTGTGCGCCACGAACCCACCCCGCGCCCGCGACGGTGACGTATGGACCGTCGGGTCCTCCGTTGCCGCCGTCGC